CCCCCCACACACACACACACACACACACACACCAGCACACAGATGCCTGTGTTGTCCTGTGAGGCTCGTCCTGTTGTTCATAGACGTCAATTTAAAAAAAATAGTAAATGGTGGATATGTTTGACCCTCAATCACAGTTTCTAGGGGCATTTTGAGATTACTTGAGGCATTTTTGCCCTTTGTCCAATTCATTTCTGACACTGCTTTGTGTGCATCAATTTGAGTTTTAGACACTCTGAATTAGGACATTTTTGGGAGGTGAGGACATTTTGGCTGGTCCGCACCTCTTCAAAGGCCAGTTTGAGGGTTCTGACTTGGTTTTACGGTCCAGGTTAGAGTTAGGTATGGGTTGGGCATAGACATTCTGTTGTGATGGTAAGAGACCTGGGAGTGTGTTATGTCAGTGAGTGTCCTCATAAAGATAGAAGTACAGGGTGTGTGTGTGGCACTCTGCAGTGGGCATTGCTGCAGTGACTCAGCACATCTCTGCTGTATTGGCTGCTGTAACCTTCACTGCTGCGCAGTCAGGCTGGCGGGGTCAGTCAGTGAGGGCTCTCTGCAGCACACACGTGTTCCAGGCTGCTGTAGAGCAGCTTGCTGTTGGGGGAGTTCCTCCGTAGGGCTTCAGTGTCTCAAGGCTGCTGACAGATGTTCCTCAGGCACATGCATATCTGTCAGGGGAGCAGCACATCATCTGAGTTTAAGATAAAGAGAAAAGCAGAGATGTTCCAAGTTTATCGTGCATATTCCTGAAGACGCAGACAGTTACTGATGTCTGTTACTTTGTACCGCAGAAGAATAAAGAAATTAGTTTTTGTCCATCCAGCTCTTAAAAATATGCGAGGGTTGCATCTGTTACTCAGAGAAATCATGCAACACATTACATGTAATGCATGCAGCTGGTTGGTAATCACATTTCTCTCTCTAATTCTATCGGTGATAGAATTGCTGCTTCCTGGTTTTTTTTCTCAGCCATTCCAGAGATCTAAATTGACAGTGATCCAGCCACAGGCATGTTTCTCTCTGCTCTCCCATCACAAACGATTCTTTTGCTTCTGTTTCCCTGCAGACTGGTGTTTCTACCGGGAGCTGCTACACCAGTGAGGGTCCGAGACTGAGAGGACAAAGGAGAAGCAAAGGAAACGCATCGCTCCTGAAGTTTGGACGCCGAAATGGAATTTTTTGTTTTCTTTTGAAAACGTTTACAATGAGTTCATCTGCCAATTCTGACAGAGCGTTTGTCTCGCCCTGAATATTACAATAACGCGAGAAACCTTTTGTCTGCTGCTTATTGGGGAGCTTGATTTTACTGAGGGGTGATGGTGACGCTGCTCAACAAACCTACATTTAAGCTAATGTGCAGCATCGGTTCATTGTGTGTTCACAGGGGTGGTCATCTCCATGTGGCAGGCGTTCTTCTAATATTTAATAAAACACTGACGTTAGATACACACTGCTAATGGAAACCTCTTGCTTCATGTGGTAGAGTTTCTCTTATTCTGTCTAGAACTTCAGTGAAGTGTGGACCTTTATGTGAGAAGTGTTCCTTTGTTGACAGTTCAGATTGTGTTGGCCAGGCTGACCTGTCAGGTGGCACATTTCCTGTCGAATGCCTGTCACATCTTGTAAACAACACTGTCACCACCTTTTGCTGTTGTGGTTTCACTCTGTCCACACATCTGTTGGTTTACACTACATGGGAGTCATGGGTAGTTTTTAGGACAGAGTGGGTGATGTGTGTAAAATCTTCTGTCCTGGTATATGTGACTTTTTTTGTTGCAATATTGAGATGAACCATAAATATTTAGTCATTTTTCAATAAATTTCATTGAGACTGTTTTGGCTAATCTAGTGAGTTAAAGAGGAACTAAACCCTCGACGTTTAGAGGAAGTGCTTCTAGCATGAACATCAGAAACCTGTGTCGTTGCTTATGTTGTCGGTTCGTTTAGACTCATTCGCAGCACGTTCTGTCTACTTGGAATTAGCTAATTTACACACGTGGAATCCGTGTTAATTGTTTATTACCTGGCGATAGCGATGTACTTTCCCACACCGTAACAACTATGTGAATGAAGCTTTTAGTTACATTTTCCTCATTTAGCGTCTGGCTAGCTCGTTTGCTAATTCCACCATATTTTTATGCAATACGTCACCTGCCTCCAGATCAATTATAACACAATATGTAGAATTCAAATACTTGGCTCTAAAACCCTAAATATCCATATGCATTGGTTTCCAGCTGAACAAAGTGCTTTGGGGTTTAGTTGCTCTTTACATACTAAAAACCCTGTGAGTTGAGTACAGTGATGAGTCATCAGTGATGAGTCATCAGTGATGAGTCATCAGTGATGAGTCCGGCCTGCTCACTGATTCACATCTAAAGCTTTTAACATGACTCCTGAGTGTGAATGATCATGTAGAATTTGTTGACAAATTTCTATACTATCTCAGTGAAAACCCTTTTAGGATAATTCTAAATATTTTTGTTTTCCTAATTGTATTCATATTGTGATCCCCTCATAACATTCAGTGCTCCAACACGCTTCTTCAGTGATGAAGGGAGCAGCCTGGGATTCACTCAACTACCCTCAGCTGTTTGTATCTCCTGGACATGCTGGACAGATTATTTGTTGGCATGAACACAAAAGCTATGAATGTAAATCCCCGGTCAAATTAAAGCAAAATTGTAGTTAAAGAATTTATTTATTTTTGAATTGGTTTCCTGCTCCTTTTGGTCCGTTAGTATATCTGGAGACATGCCCAGACATCCCTCTACCCCACCTCTTTGCCTTTGACTAGAAGCAGTGCAGAGAGCAGGTTGTCTGACAGCCTGTCTGTTGAATATGACTTGATGACACGTTGCTCCTTTTGGTTTCCGCTGTAGTCTCGTCGTTCGGACCTCTGGTGCCTTGAATTTGCTCGTCAGGTAACATTTGTTTCGAGATCTGCTGCTGTATTTCCCTTGATTTGGCACTCCAAGTACATTATTCACGTTCTCGATGATTTAGTTCAATTTCCAATATTCCCATGCGACCATTTGGAAAAAATAAATGATTTGTACACAGTATTTTAGAACGGTACTGTTTTTCTGTGGACCATTTATTTGTTGAAATCACGTTTTAAAGGGAACAGAAGAGGAACTGTTTGAACAGGTGTCGCTCATAAAGGATCAAAGCTCCTCACGGGTTCTTAACTGCGATGAAGAGGGTTCGTTTCTTGTCGAGAAACAATCGCAACTTAAAGTAAGTCATTCTCAGGCCTTTGTGAGGTGCAGTGGGGCCTGTGGTTGGAAGGGGAATGTGAAAAGTAACGAGTTTCGAAGCATGTCGGAACATTTGTGCAGTGAACCTCAGCTGAATATTGTGACTTGGTTGATAGTTTGACCCTGAAACTAAAAGTCTGAAGTCTGTCATATGTCACACTTAACTGGGACCCTGAATGGAGTTCTCTTTGATTGCTCTACCTCATGTTTCTGCACAGTGTCTTTACGGAGTCATCCTTTTCTTAACAAAGACATTCCTCAGAGATGACCTGGCAGGTTCCAAGGGGCCAGCTTTGTATTTAATGTCATCGCAGGTTGTCTTTAGATTGTGATCGCATCGGTTGGGAATACGTGCCACAGCTTTTGACTTCCATCTTTGCTGATGCATTGTGGGAAATGGGTTTACATTCATCCGGATGTTTACACACGTTAACACAGGCCATGATGTACTTTCATTGTGTTAAAGCCTCTGTTGTGAAAAGCGTACCTCAGTTGCCCACTTCTGTTTGATAATGTGTTGATAGAGTGTTTGATTGTACAGGATAGAAGTGATAATCCTGGAGTGTAGATGAGCTAATGGTTGTGCTCACACAGAGGTGTTTTGTATTCTGATTTCTGAGGAATTGCTTTTGTTTTACTTCAATTTCGAGGAATGTACTTAAAATATCAAGATGTTTAGAAAACCCTCAGTCTTCCTCTGGTTTCCTGTGATGTTGGATTGATGTAACTAGTTCACTTGTGTTTCATGCAACACTCTTCTATGCAAGTCAACCTCCGTGGATCGTCTGAAGAGCACTTGAGGCCAGGCTGATGGAGTGTTTAGTCCTCCTGACTGTGACGTGCTGTGTTCAGATGACTTCACCCTTTCTTTCAACAGAATATCCAGTCCTTGGTTGTACATGGAACTGGAGCCAGTTGCTTGAACGAAAACACTTTTGTTTTTTTATTGCTGACTTTGTACACATCAGGGCTCCGTTTCAATAAAGGCTGGAAATACCTTGAATCTGTGTGAGTTCTTAACATTTGTATGTCAATAATGACTGATATGTGTAGGAGACGTGGGGAGGCGTTCAATAGAGCTAAAGTGTGCCGAGGACACGGGCATGTGACCATGACAGACAGCTGGGTGTGCCTGTCTCACCTCTTATCTGTGCCCACATCATCTGGGCAGATGGGAATAACTGGCATGTTTACTGACAGCTTGATTTACTGCTACCTTGGCAGAGGCAAGTAGAAGGCAAATGTAACATCAAGGTGTCTGTAGGCCCTCACATATAGATTCAATATATAAATCTACTATACAAAGGTTTTAAGCACAACACTGTCATTATTTTATGTTTGTCATTCACAACAAATCCCATGAAAAGACCATCATAGGGTACATCCCAAGTCTCTTAATTCTCATTTCCTCGCTCCTCAATCCTCGCTTGAACCGGAAGTTGTTCTGCGCCGCCATATTGACGGCCGTCCCAAAGCTCTTATTTAGCTCCGAGGATGGAGGAGGGATGTCTGAGGAGCCATGAGCGAGGACCCACGAGAACAGACTTCCAGGAAGTCTTTTAACGGCCGACACGCCCCGTCACTGTTCATCAGTCATGTGATTGGACGCTGCAGCCGATCGGACTGATGAGATTATTTTCAACAAGTAAACTGAAGACGGATCACAGAATAAACTCAAGCTTTATATTTGATTCATTTTCTGATATAACATCTTGTTTAAATAAATGTTCATTGTAGACAGAACAACAAAAGGACCACAAACAACTTTCTTCATTTATTAGAAAGATTTGTGTTTTCATGATCTGA